TCTGTTTGACTTCATTATTAGTCATCTGGTGATGTTCATATTTACATTCATTTGAATGGTAGCCTGAAGCATGTATTTGTAATGAAGAGATAGTTGGCTTCAAAGATGTTTATGAGTCATTCTCCTGCTTTGTTTCTGACCCTTACATCAAATTCTCCCTCTACATTGGATTCGTCTTTGTTTCCTAGTTTTGCGTGCCAGTTACCTTGGATTATCAGCATGTCTTCTAGTAGTGTGTCTGCCATGCAGCACTAGACTTTCCTGTCCTTTCTGTGTATGACAGCCACCAGAATTTCTTTTGGCTTTGTTCTGACTGTGTCATTAGTGACAGCAGCACTATTCATAATTTGCTTTTCTTCAGTAGGTGGTTAAGTGCCTGTTGATCCAGGAATCTCATCTTTTGGCACTACCTCTCTCTTCATTTTAGATTGTTTCATCATATGGTTTACAAGCTAACAGTGGTCAGAAGTGGTTTACCATTGCCTTCTTCTTTGCACTACTAGCTGGAGTTAGCTTGCGCATTATAGCCATTGTCTGCCAAAGATACCGCCAGTGTCACTTTCAACTCTTTGCTGCAGTTCTGGTGTTTCACCCTTCTACCACTCTCACCGTTACAGAGACCCAATTTCTTTTGCCACTGTGACCATTACTCCTGAAGAGGGTGGGTGCATCTTAGTCTGGTGTCTCAGCTTGGACAATTCTGACTTGTGAATCCCAGCTAGGTGATCAGACTTGTGAAGGCATGTGGCCTCCTCTCAGCTTTCCTTGTGGCTTCTCTGACACTCTCAATTTAACACAGTATGTTAAGTTGTGCATCCAACAGGTATCGGGGACGGGGGCGGGGGGATTAACAAAATGACTACATTATATTCTAATTCCATCTGTATCAGTTTCTGACAGAATTATGGCATCTAAATTAGCATGGATATAAGCAACTTTGTCTACTCTATCTGTTCAGCAGATTGTTCACAGCAGGCCTTGAAGGTTTCCATCTCTTTCGCATCAGAGCCTACACACACACACACACACACACACACACACACACACTCTCTGTCCTTCATCATGCCAAAAGGCTTTCTTGGGTGTCATGGAGCACAAACAGCAGTTGCTGATAAGATATGTTCACCATCATCACTGCCACAGACTTGGATTGAAAATTGATTTCTACCTGTCTTGTCTCATATTTGCTACATATCTTCCACCATTTGTGTTTTAATCTAATGCGTGGGAATCTGACAGACTTTATCCCTTGCAAATATTTCAGTAGTGATTTATTACCTGGCAAAGAAAGGTCAAAGGGATTGTCTGGTCAAAGGGAAATACAGGATTGCATTTTAAAGGTTTAAGTGGTTTTGAAGGTAATTATTTTGTTTTTGCTTTCTAGAAAAACAACATAGATATTATTACAAGGGTAATAATATTACAAAGAGGAAATGACGGGGAAACATGTTTGTTGTAGCTTCCCATTCCTGTTTAAAGCAGTGGGGTGCTCATTCCACTCTTCTACTTCATCTCCCCATACTCAGAAACAAGAAACTAGTTTAGCTGAACTGAGTTCAAAGTGTCAGAAGTGATGGAGAACAAAGGGAAGACCCACAGCTGCATGATGGTACTTTGCGTGCAAAAGATCTTGATTTGTGGTATTTTCAGGTAGAGCTGGGAGAAACTTTTTGTGGCACTTGAGTCCTACTTGTAGGCTTCTGATGGGCACCTAGTTGGCCAGTATGGGAAAAGACTGCTGAACTAAATGGTCTTTGGTCAGATTTAATATTCTGTTTCTTATGATTTTGTGTACATATGAATTGTATAGATGCATTAATAGGAAAATGGCTTCCTCTATAATATCTGTTTTGCTCCACAGACTGTTAAAATTTATGTCTGCCTTAATATTTTCTAATGGAAAGAGATAATTACTGTACTTACGGTTCTATGGCTATGTACGGATAAATTAATAGTACTGAATTACAACATTCAAATTGGGTTTGGCAGTTTTAATAGTTGCACACAAATAATTCTGAGTCAAATAATATTCCTGAACTCTAAAAAAGCATGTTATAAAGAATCTAAGGTAGAATATTGAAGTGAAGATACATGCCTGACTGAAATTTTTCCCTTCACTCATTTGTCATGAACTAACATTGAGGACAGTAAAATTACATGTCATCTTATCATCAGTTATAGTTAATATAGATAGTCTTCAGGTCATGTCCTGGAAATAACACTGCCTTTTAAAACTTTATTGTGTCAACATTAAATATATTGGCAATCTGTTGGCCATCTCCTATTACAGGATAAGAGTCAGGAAGTATAACACACAAATCTTCTTCCCCACCACCATTGCTTTTTCTGTCCTGGTCATTTTTACATTTTCCTTGCTTCCAGTATGTCTGCTTTTGTTACCATGAATCATTTTACATTCTGTGACAACAATACATTAAGTTTGTGCAGAACTGTTACATGCATAAAGAGTGAAAAATTTAATATCCACTCTTATATTCCACCAATTTTTCACTTGCAACATTCATTACTTGTAATAGTTGGCTAGTTGAAGGACAGGGAGGAAAATATTCAGAAAAATATAGAAGAACGGTACTGTTGATTTTGGCAGTATACCTTTGTAAACAAAGTGACACAAATTGAGGCAAGAAATCCATCGGGAAAAGAGAAGAGAACCAAAAAACTGAAAATGCAGCACAGAGCAAAGTCCCTTCCAGATGGTGTTTTTAATAAATTTATCAGGCGGGCATGAAAGATGATAATGAACATTCAAAATGGGGAGTGGCAGCCTTCCCTTGGGAGCAGAAACAGTATGGTACCTTCTGTGTGCTGCAATGATTTGGTTGCTCTCTAATTTCCCATTGTGTAAAATAGTACAAAATGGCTTGCTGTGGTTAATATAGCATTATCAAGATATTAGAGAATCATCATATAGGTAGACTATAAGTTTTAAAAAATGCATTCCTATAAATAACACAGATGATGAAATCTAAATTAAAAAAATATCCTCAGAACCAATTGCATCAGTAAATCTCAATGAGTTCTGAATATAGTCATTTTCAGTATTCTCAACTCTACATTATATAATAGTGCAAAAATAGCAATGTGAAAGGAAAGGGCATTCATTAGCAAAGTGTTGTTTGCAACAATTCTCTAGATGCCTTAATTCCTTTTTAAAAAAATAGTTGTATAGGTTTTTAAGTTCCATTATTTTTTCATTAAAATATCTTATCCATATTTTAAACCAAAGAGAATCCACCAGTCATTTTCTGAAACAGCTATCTGCATATTTGACTGAATATTACCAGTGTATACTGATGTTATTCTATAGTGCTTTTAAATTGTGAGCTACCTTGGCAATTCTATTGTTGGAAGGCATGGTAAGGATTTTTTAAATGTGTGGAAAAAATATTTATCAATGCCCATGGAGAACACTTGTAACTTAACATTTGTAAGATTGGGAGGTAACAGAGGGGAAGTATCAAAGGGTCAATACAGGGAATATAATATGTACAAATTCAGTTACATTTATGTTCTTAAGACTGCTAAATTAAACCATGCCTAATGAAAATTGGGTTTGAAGATGGATTAGAAGAGGTGGCATCCAGTAGGTGTTCTGGAGCAGACATATTTCTTCCATGGAAAATCTCTGCAAGGAGAGAAGGCAGAGCTAAGTAACATTTCTTTGCATTATCCTCCTGCTTATTTAAGGTCTAGTACTAAATGATACACAAGACTTTTTAAATTTTCTGCTTGCTTATATACTTGCGGATCTGTGAAGTATTCTATTTTTAACCATGGACAACTGGGATCATTCTGAAAAGTCACTTTTGAATGTTAGAGTTTAGTAACTGCACAAAATGACTAACATAGTGGACTGTATGATCGCTAAACATTTTTGTCCTGCAGATAGAATAGGGATAAAAGTCAAGTAATGAGTCCCTTGCTTTCTGAACTCTGTTTGAAGCACTTGGCTCTACTCGCTTCCACAGAGACATTCCTGAGTTAACTGGACCATTGGTTTTTTCCAGTAACTTCTTAAACTATAACAATATATGTCTTCAGGAACTCTAAATTATCTATACTGTTTCCAAGAATCACTTCCCTTATCTGATACTACCTCTGGAGTAGCTTAAATAAGCCTGGAAAAAATATAGTGGGACTAAATGACTTTTCAGAATTTTTTTGGTGCTTCATACTGCTGTCTTGGATGCTGTGTGTTGCTGCTTCTGCCATGGTCCACCCCCATTCCATAATGATTTTAACTAGAAAGTGCCTGTTGTTGAAGGAGTCCAAAAGTTCCATCAAAGGACTGGGGAAGGTCCTTCATCAGTTCACCTTATGCCCTGCCCTTTTTGTCCTACCTGAATGAGCCAAAGAACTTTCACGAAAGGGCGCGCGCGCACACACACACACACACACACACACTGCCCCATTCCCATAGACTTTGAGTGGTTTGCAAGAGATTCTCATTTTGGCAATCTGTGTATGAGTATTTTGTGTTCTTATGGTATATCACCTCTTCATTTGCACAATGAATTTCTTAATTAAGAGCAACTGTATGGACGTTTCAAATGTGTGGGAATTAACAGGATAAGGAGGACTGTGCGCCCTTGTAGTGTCTCTACATCTGTTACTCATCTGCTCTGAGACTGAATAGTAATCCTTCTTTTCAGTGCTTATCAGCTTGTCCTCATCCCCTTATAACTTCTGACTTTGGACTCTGTAGGACATACTGCAGTTGGCTCACCAAAATGAGTGAGAATCTGAGTATTTGTTTGCACTATATAATGTTTTGTTGCATGAGGTTAAAAGATACCTGTGTGGCCTATTCTGATTCAGACAGCTCACTTTGTGCTTATTGATTTTTAATCTATACTGTGAAAATTCATGTATTCCAGTGCTAATGACATTTTTGCTTATCCTCACTGCCACAGAAATAGATGCTGATGATACTGAGTTGCCTGTTCTGCTGTTTAACTCTTTTGTATTTTACTTTTTAGTGCCTACAGAGAATGTTGCAACAGTTGCAGACTGTGCCAGTGTGATTGAGGGTGTAAGCCGCAGTCGCAATGCCTTGTTGAATGGAGACACAAAGAATTATGACTGGGATTCTGGGTATACGTGCCATCAGCTAGGCAGTGGTGCTATCGTAGTTCAGCTGGCACAGCCGTACATGATTGGATCGATTCGGTAAGTAGATTTCTAACTTAATGTAAAGATAGTTCAGTAATGAGAATTTGTACCTTCTAGATATCTTTCATATATAGCTACTGTGAAGAGTTCTTTTTATTGTGCTGAGACTATTCCTCTAGTACCACAGTAACATGCAAAACATAACGTGAAAAACAAATCAGTACATGTACATTTAATGTCAAAATAGTGACATGACTAGAGGGCAGTCAATCTATTCTGTGGAGGGGACGGCATTGGAAACAAAGTGCTTTTAGATACTTTATATTTATACTGCTGCAGAGTTGTCACACTTTTGACTGTCCTAAAATATGACTGGCTGGATGTTCTCAATAAAACATAGTTAGAGTTGTTCTCATTATCTGTTCATGGGCTGCTTGTTTTGTTTGTTTTTAAATACATTAAGTATTTCCCCTAGCTATCTCTTCAAATATGCCTATGAACTAGTGTAGCATAGTGAATGTTAGATCAGGAAAACATGGGTTTAAATTTTTGGCCAGCCATCGTGCAATCTCGGTAATTTTCTCTCAACCTAAAATATCACAGGAATATTGTGATAGTGGTATTGCTGGGTGGGGTGAGTATATAGGGATAAAGTCTTGCCTATTGAACTCAGCTCTTTGGAAGCTGAAATGCTTGAGCTTATTTTTAAAAATTGTGGTAAGAATTTTGGACAATTCTGAAATCCTTAACTCCAGAAATGAAATATTCTGAGAGATCCCTAAATGTCTTCTACAACAGATATGCTATAAAATAAAAATTAGGAAGTATCCCTTTTTACAAGAGCAGAGACTAACATTTAGTGATGCTTTCCTTGACTTCTGGCTATTTATACTTCAATATCAGAGTGGGGAAGATATGAAAATAAATTTTCAAATATAAAGAACAAAATAATATGTTCTTGCCTGTTCCAGCTGTCTCTTTCAAGGGAAGATGTATGGTTCTGACTTTTCTATGTTACTGGAAACTGTTGACATATAATGTATGATCAGCTGCAAAAGGAAAGGATAAGAATCTTTGAATCTACAGTACACTGGCAGATGAAACTGCCAATTTGCACACAGGATTTGTGGGAGGGAATCTGTACAAACAGGCACCCACTGCTTACAAGTAGATCATTCACTCCCCCCTCCACTGCCCTCAAGTAACTGGATGAGGAGCTGCATATTTATTCTTGTGTGTGTGTGTGCGAGTGGGTTTTCGTCTGGGAGAACTGGGCGAGTGAGAGGAACTGCAGGACTAACAAGGCAGGGGACCAAGGTAAGGTCTCGGAAGGGATACAGATGACAGACCAGGAGATGGCCTTGGCGGGAGTCACGGGTGTTGCTGTCCGCTGCGACAGCTGCGACATGTTCTCCCTTCTCCCCAGGAGAGGCAGGGATACACTTGCCCTCGGTGCAAGTTGGTGACCCTGCTAGAAGAGGAGGTGAGGTGCCTGAGGGCCGAGAGAGCTCTCCAGCCCCCAACCCTGAGCAGCCCCCCTCTGGACAGTGGGTTGAGGGAGAGGCCATGGGAGGAGCACCGCGGAGACATGGAGGTATGTCACCCACAGGAGGAGGAGGCCAGCATGGCCTCCTCCTCCTCCTGGCATCAATCTGGAGCTGGGAAACAGATTCTCTCCACTTGGGGAGGCTGGGGCTGATGAGGCCTTAGGGGACCAGCAGGACCCCCAGCCTGAGATGTCAGGCGGCAAGGGGGCTGCTGCAGGAGAGGCGAGGGCCAGGGCACGGCTGCCCACCAGCACCGGAAAGGTACGGCGGTGGGTGATTGTTGTTGGAGACTCCCTGCTGAGGGGCACTGAGCCAGCGGTGTGCTGCCCCAACATGGAGACAAGGGAGGTTTGCTCCAGGGGTCACCAGCCGCTCTTGGTGATCCATGTGGGCACAAACGATGTGGCCAGGCAGGGTGTGGTTGGGACCACCAGGGACTTTGAGGCCTTGGGGAAGAAACTCAGGGAGCTGAAGGCCCAAGTGGCCTTCTCATCAATCTTACCTGTCCGGGGATTTGGGCCAGGAAGGGACAGGAGGGCCTCCGAGGTGAACGACTGGCTTAGGGTGTGGTGCCAGAAGGAACGCTTTGGGTTCCTTGACCACGGCACTCGTTTTCTTGCCAATGGACTTCTGGCAAGAGACGGGTTACACCTCACGAGGATGGGGAAAAGGTCCTTTGGAGATGCTCTAGTGAGCTTCGTCCGGAAGACTTTAAACTGAGCCGGGGGGGTGGTTCAGGCCCCCCAGGAATGTGTCTGCACTGGACAAGTGTGGGGGGAGGATCAGGGCTCTGGGAGCAGGGTTTTAGAGATCCTGCAGGGACTGACAGGACTCCTTCAGACAGGGGCCAGGTACTAGGGAGGATGGGAGGAAGGAGGAGGCTGGGAACTCCAAGGAAAGGAAGCGGTGGGAAGGAGTTGAGGTGCATGTACGCCAATGCTAGGAGCATGCTTGAAGCTCTCCTGGGAATAGGAGGGTATGACCTGGTGGGAATCACAGAAACTTGGTGGGATGAAAGGCAAGTCTGGAATGTGAACATAGAAGGGTATCACCTTTTTAGAAAGGACAGGAAGGGAAAGAGAGGTGGGGGCGTGGCTTTATACGTCAGGGAAGGGATAGGATGCAGTGAGATAGAATGCAGCACAGATGGGGATTCTGTAGAGGCAGTCTGGGTGAAACTTAGGGGTTTTGACAGGGAAAGAGACCTGACAGTGGGGGTATGTTATCGCCCTCCAGGTCAACTTGAGACCCTGGATGATGTCCTGACAGGCCAGATTCTAAGGATATCTCAGGGGAGAGACACAGTAATTATGGGAGATTTCAATCTCTCGGATATTACTTGGGAGACTCACTCGGCGGTGACAGCCAGGTCACGTCGCTTCCTAGAAGCTATTGAGGGAGTGTTTTTCACACAGAGGGTCCGAGAGGCGACAAGGGGGGGAAACATCCTTGACTTGGTCTTGACCAATAGGGAGGAGCTGATAGATGAAGTACAGATTAGGGGAGCTCTGGATGCGAGTGATCACTCCATCCTTTGCTTTGAGATCAGGGGACTGGGGACATGCAGCAGGTCGAGCACTAGAAGCTGGGACTTCAAGAGGGCCAACTTTGGCCAACTGAAGGCCAGACTGGGGAAAGTCTCCTGGGATAGGTTACTGGAAGGTAAGCGAATTGAGGACGGGTGGATAGCACTCAAAAGGGAGGTTTTGGAGGCGCAAGCCTTGACAATACCTCTAGTCAGTAAGGTGGGAAGGCGGAGGAGAGTGCCGCCATGGATGCAAAACGAGGTGGTTAGAGGGATCAGACGAAAGAGGAACCTCCGTAGGAAATGGGTACTGGGGAAATAGACAAAAGGGTATACCGGGAGGAGGAGGCCCGTTGCAGAAGGATTCTTCGCAAGGCTAAGGCTGATGACAAGCTGAGACTTGCCAAGAATATCAAGAGCAATAAAAAGGGCTTCTTTCAGCATGTAAATAGGAAGAGGAAAGGGAAACAAGTGGTGGGACCACTAAATAAGGAGGAAGGAGATCCAGTGACTGATATGAGGGAACAGGCACAGATGCTAAATGACTATTTTGCCTCTGTTCTCCCCAAAGCAGGACGGGGGATATCCGCATAGGAGATTAGATGAGGCTGGGGACTTAGGGGCACAGATTAGAGTCACCCCCCCTTGAAATTGAGGGGTTCCTCAGGGCATTGGACATTACAAAGGCGCCAGGCCCTGACGGGTTACACCCAAGAGTACTTAGAGAGTTGGCAGGGGTTCTCTCACGCCTGCTGGCCTCCATTTTTGAGACCTCGTGGAGAACGGGTGAAGTTCCAGAGGACTGGAGGGTGGCATCAGTGGTCCCAGTTTTCAAAAAGGGTAGTAAAAAGGACATGGGGAATTATAGACTGGTTAGCTTTACGTCCATTGTAGGAAAAACAATGGAAAGGCTCATAATAGAGAGAGATCTAGTGATGCTAGATAGGGAAGGGAGGCTGACAGCCACATAACATGGCTTTTGCAAAAACAGGTCCTGCCAGACAAACCTTGTGGAATTCTATGACAAGGTTTTACGATGGCTAGATGGAGGGGATGCAGTGGATGTGGTATACCTGGATTTCAGCAAGGCCTTTGACAAAGTGCCCCATGATAACCTGGTGGAGAAACTGAGTTTTGGGATACACCAAAGCACTGTCCGGTGGATTAGGGCATGGTTGACTGACCGAAAGCAGAAGGTAACCATTAACGGGGAATCATTGGGATGGCGGCCAGTGACAAGCGGGGTCCCCCAGGGCTCTGTCCTGGGGCCGATCCTGTTTAATCTTTTCATTAACGACATGGAAGAAGGGGTGAACAGTCTGCTGATCAAATTCACATGACACTAAAACTGGAGCAGTGGCCACAACTGAGGAGCAGGTACTCCAGATCCAAAAGGATCTGGACAGACTATGGAAGTGGGCAGGAGACAACAGGATGGCGTTCAATGTGGATAAGTGCAAGGTCTTGCACTTGGGGCATAGGAATAGCTGTCATAAGTACAGGTTAGGTGACAAGTGGCTGGAGAGCAGCACTTGTGAAAGGGACCTCGGGGTACTGGTTAACTGCAGGCTAAACATGAGTCAGCAGTGTGATGCGGTGGTCAAGAGGGCGAACGCCACCCTTGGTTACATAGCCAGTAGTGTGGCTTCTAGATCAAGAGAGGTATTACTACCACTCTACACGACTCTAGTGCGCCCACAACTGGAGTATTGTGTTCAGTTTTGGGCCCCTCATTACAGAAAGGATATAGCCAGGTTAGAGTCAGTGCAGCGTACGGCCACAAGGTTGGTGGCCGGTTTGCAGGGGATGCCATATGAGGCGAGACTGAACGAACTGGTTCTCTTCAGCCTGGAGAAGAGGAGACTCAGAGGGGATATGTTGGCGACATACAGGTATGTGAGGGGATGTCACATGGAGATGGGTAGAGACCTGTTCTCCCCTGCAGAGGAAGGCAGAACGCGCTCCAACGGAGCAAAGCTCAGGGA